CGGAAGAGCTCAGCTTTGGGTCTTCGGGGGATGTGTGTGTGTGTGCTGTATTCTTAGCTACTAGATATTCTTGGGAAAGGTGTGGAGGGGTGGTTCAGATCAGTGTAGCTTTTCGAGACCAAAAGGGCCGTCAATCCTTTCCTAATGCAGACACACAGATGGCTATTGGACCTCACAAGCCCTTCCAGGAGCTAACAGGGTCTCTCTCTTTATTCCACCAGAGGATGATCAGAGAAATGAGGAAGCTGAGGAACTTTATCCGGAAAGGCCAGGTAGAGTTAAAAATGAAGACATGAAAGAAGACGTCAGGAATCAAGGTGGACCTGAGAGAAAGAAAGGCGGCCATATGGTTGAGACGAGAGATGGAAGAAAGTGTAATGACCATTTTCCAAAGCAGGGGATAAGGAAGACAAGTAAATCTATTCAGTGTGGAGAGTACTTCAGAAATAGATCACAGCCCCTTGTGCACCAACAAATACATGGAGGGGAGAAATTTTTTGAATGCTCAGAGTGCGGAAAGAGATTCAGTAGGAGTGGCACTCTTCAACTGCACAAAAGAACCCACACAGGGGAGAAACCTTTTGAATGTGCAGAGTGCGGAAAGCGATTCAGTTTGAGGGGTAACCTTTACAAGCATCAAAGAACCCACACAGGGGAGAAACCTTTTGAATGTGCAGAGTGTGGAAAGAGATTTAGTGCGAGGGGGAATCTGTACAAGCATCAAAAAACCCACACAGGGGAGAAACCTTTTGAATGTTCAGTGTGTGGAAAGCGATTCAGTGTGAAGGGTAACCTTTACAAGCATCAAAAAACCCACTCAGGAGAGAAGCCTTTTGAATGCTCAGTGTGTGGAAGGAGATTCAATAGGAGTGGCCATCTTCAACGGCATCAAGGAACCCACACAGGTGAGAAATCTTTTGAATGCTCAGAGTGTGGAAAGAGATTCAGTCGGCGTGCCACTCTTCAAAAGCATCAAAGAACCCACACAGGGGAGAAACCTTTTGAATGCTCAGATTGTGGAAAGAGATTCCGTGATAGCTGCCATCTTCAACAGCATCAAAGAACCCACACAGGGGAGAAACCTTTTGAATGCTCAGAGTGTGGAAAGAGATTCAGTCGGCGTGCCACTCTTCAAAAGCATCAAAGAACCCACACAGGGGAGATAACTTTTGAATGCTCAGTGTGTGGAAAGAGATTCAGTGATAGCTGCCATCTTCAATGGCATCAAAAAACCCACTCAGGGGAGAGACCTTTTGAATGCTCAGTGTGTGGAAAGAGATTCAATCGGTGTGCCACTCTTCAACGGCATCAAAGAACCCACACCGGGGAGAAACCTTTTGAATGTTCAGTTTGTGGAAAGAGATTCAGTGAGAGTGGTAGTCTTCGAAACCACCAAAGAACCCACACGGGGGAGAAACCATTTGAATGTTCAGTTTGTGGGAAGAGGTTCAGTGAGAGTGGCCATCTTCGAGTGCACCAAAGAATCCACACAGGGGAGAAACCTTTTGAATGCTCAGAGTGCGGAAAGCGATTCAGTCAAAGTGGCACTCTTCGATATCATCAAAAAGCCCACACAGGGGAGAAGCCTTTTGAATGCTCAGAGTGTGGAAAGAGATTCAGTTGGAGTGGCGATCTTCATCAGCACCGAAGAACCCACACAGGGGAGAAACCTTTTGAATGCTCAGAGTGCGGAAAAAGATTCAGTCGGAGTGGCATTCTTCGATATCATCAAAGAACCCACACAGGGAAAATACCTTTTGAATGCTCAAGAGTGTGGAAAGAGCAAAGAGAAGGGGACCTACAAATACGAAATTAACAGAAATTTTAACCTCCCACAATCTAGTAGATATTAGGAGACACCTACACCCTACGGATAGGGATTACACTTTTTACTCTACATGTCACAGATGATATACCCGCATTGACTGTATTTTAGTTAACTCATCGTTAGTTAGCCAATCTTATTCGGCTGACATTGGAACACAACTGTGGTCAGATCACTGTTGGGTAGACTGCTATATGAACATCAATTGTGAACAAAATCCAAAACTAATATGGACATTAAATAGTTTTTTATTATTGAATGAAACAGTTTTGTCAGAAACAGAACAACACATTAAAAACTTCTTCTCAGAAAATTCTGTAGAAGAGACCCCCCCAAAATATAATCTGGGATGCAATGAAACCAGTCATCCGAGGCCACTTAATTTCCATGTCCTCATTTCTAAAAAAAACAAAAAGCCAGTTTAGAACTTCAACACGCCATCAAATCATTAGAAAACAAACATAAACAATCAGGAAATATTAATATTTATGCACAACTCTTAAAAGAACGTTAAATTTTTTGGAAATGTACCAAATTCAAAAAAACATTCTGTACTCAAAGCAAAGAGGATGAGCTTTTACTCCGAAATCACTTAAATTCTTAAGTAAGCACCTGAAGCACCAACAACAATCACGAGTAATCACAGCAATAAAAGACACCCAAGGCAAACTACATCATGATTCAAAAACAATTTCCAATGTATTTCTGAACTTTTACAAAAAGTTATACAGCTCATCCATTGAGGATTCTAACCTAATAGATAAATTTTTCCAAAGTAATCCTCTCGCTAACACACTGAATGAAATTCATCATGACCAAATAGAAGCTCCTATTACACTTCAGGAGGTCAGGCAAGCTATCAAAGGATTAAAGGCCGCCAAAGCTCCTGGACCAGACGGCTATGCCCCGGAGTTCTACAATTTGCCTCAATTTTGGCCACCCCTCTAGCTAACACATGCGACCACACATTAAATACTGGGAATCTACCACCCTCATGGAATGAGGCATCTATTATACTAATTCCTAAACCAGGCAAAGATCCAGCCCAACCAGCATCCTACCGCCATATCTCCCTATTGAATACAGACTTTAAAATCTTCACCAAAATTTTAGCTTCCAGACTTAAAACATTCATAACAACATACCAAGATCAAGTTGGGTTCATGCCAAACCGTGACATCACGGAAAACACCCACAAAGCTCTCACAATTCTAAACCATTGCACTTCCAAAAAAATACCAACTGCTTTTCTATCTCTAGGCCTGGAAAAAGCCTTTGATTCGGTTGAAGTTATTTATCTACAAAGATTACTCTAAAAGATGGGCTTCGGAGACAAATTTCTAAATGCTATCAGAACTAGACAGGCCAAAGAAACTCGAAACCAATATAATACTCTCAGCTTCAGTTCCGACTAAATTCAACGATCTTTTAAAATCAAACCAAAAAGAACTAGAGACCTGGCACAAAATGAATTTGGCGTGGTCAGATAGATTAAACATAATCAAATAATTCATATTACCCAGATTTCTCTTTATTTTTAGAACTATACCTATTCCAATAACCTCAACTCAGATCCGTAAATGGCAGACGATGCTTTTAAAATTTTTCTGGGCGTATAAACACCACAGAATCAAGAGCCATACTCTATATAGAAAATCAGACAAAGGAGGAATCAACTTCCCTAACATACAACATTATTACAATGCTATTAATATGGCTCACATCATTAAACTACTACAGGCTGACCCAAACTCAGATCCCGTACAACTGGCAAACTCCTACACAAATCCTTACAACATACAAGAGTGTATATGGCAAGGAAAACTAGACAGGCCAAAGAAACTCAAAACCAATATAATACTCTCAGCTTCACTGGACATATGGGACCGCCTAAGATCAAAACTCTTACAAACAACTTCTAGATATCAAACATTTTTAAATCAAATCTGGTTCCTACCAGGCCTCAGAAACCCAAGCTTCAACAAATGGAAAGAAGCTGGAGTCAATACTCCACAGGAACTTACGTACATGAACACTCTACTATCTAAGACTAATCTAGAAACTAAAATACAACACAAAATACCTCGGATCCAATACTTCCAAACATCTAATCTATTTAAACACCTTAAACTTGACCAGATAATGAAACAACCATTGACGTCATTAGAATCGATTATCAGAACTGCAAAGGTATCTGTGAAAGGCCTAATCTCCAAAATATACATGACACTATCCTCTCTATTTTGGCCACCAAATGCGAAGGGATCACTCACTGGAGAAGACCCTGATGCTGGGAAAGATTGAAGGTCAAAGAAGACGGGGACGGCAAAGGATGGGGTGGTTAGACAGTGTCATAGATGCAACGAACATGAAATTGAGCAAACTTCAGAGGACGGCGAAGACAGGAAGGCCTGGCGGGATCTGGTCCATGGGGTTGCGAAGAGTCGGACTCGACTGTGCGACTGAAGAAGAAGAACAACAACCTCTCTAGAATACAAGTCTCACCTATCCTACCAATCTCTCTGGCACGAAGAATGCAACATTCAGTTAACAGATGAATCCTGGCAATGTATATGGTCTAGTCCACCTTTCAAAACCAAAATTGCATCAATGAAACTGCAATCTTTTAAAATATTAGCTCATTGGTACCTCACACCCAACAAGCTGGCCCACATGACTCAAGCATACGACCCCAACTGCTGGAAGAACTGTGGAAATAGGGGCACCTACCTACATTGCTGGGTATCCTGTCCCAAAATATTACCCTTTTGGGAAGCTGTTTTAATACAAATTAAATCATTTCAAAATATAGTCATAACACCCACTCCCGAAAATTTGTTTTCGAACAGTTGGGTAGCTCATAGCGCTGCTCCTTCAGTGGTGGAGAGGGTCTCCATATTGCTATTTGCAGCCAAGACGGTCATTGACGGTCATTGCCACCCACTGGAAAACAACAATGACGCCCACAATTGCACATTGGCACAATAAATTGTGGGATTTATATATTATGGCGAGACTCTCTGATAACCTTGCACGCTTTGACAGAATTCCCGCTCCTTCCTCCTTTAGCACTATTTGGTTTCCTATCCTAGAATACCTGCAACAATTCGATGACACTCCTAAGGAAATTGATGCATTACACCTGTGGTAAAAATCAATCTTTCATTCTATCTGTTGATACTCTATTAATGTTTCAAAAGGTGTTTCTACCATAAGAAAGTGTTTTTTATCCGTGACTTTGTGCTAAATATCATCCTTACAAGTTACTAAGTTCACCTGGTATTTTATTTTGTACAATTTGTCATTACCTGTATTGCGATTGTTCACAGTTCACCAATATGTTTGTACACCTAATCTCGTCTGTTGTAAAACCTGTTACCATTAATCTTATATTCAATAAAAATATATTGTATTTTTTAAAAAAGAGTGTGGAAAGAGACTCAATGAAAGTGGCAATCTCCAACAGCATCAGACAACCCACACAGGGGAGAAACCCTTTGTACTTTTAGGAGGTGGTGGGCTCTCCTTCTTTGGAAGTTTTTAAACAGAGGCGAGATGGCCATCTGACAGCAATGCTGGTCCTGTGAACGTAGGCAGATCATGAGAGGGAGGGCAGGAAGGGTTGCCTCAGTGCTTAGTTCTTGTGGCCCTTCCTTACATGTTCGAGGAAATGCTGATCATCAGTTTGGGTCAGTTTTTATTTTTGCAGGTTTGGCCAGGGATCCTGGATTATTATTTTTTTTTGCCATCTTCTGGGCATGGAGCAGGGGTCAGTGGTGGTGTATTGGGGGAGATAGTTGTGAATTTCCTGCATTACGCAGGGGATTGTACTAGATGACCCTGGAGGTCCCTTCCAACTCCATGACTCTACTCTGTGAGTCCCAGGCAGGCAAACAGCCCGATTCTGTGAGCCCTGTGACAGAGAAGTAACCATTCCCGTCTCCCCAGGGATCACACAGCCCTCTTGAGCAGTCCTTATGGGGGCTGTTCTCTCCCCCCCCCACTGCATGGAGATAGCACAAGGAAGGCATTGTGGGTTTCTTTCCACTGCTGCCTAGAAGGGTGAAAAAGACAAATGGTGGGAACCCCACCTTTTTTGCCACACATGTAATTTCTGTTTGAGTCCCCAGCGTCACTCTCTCTCCAGGCTTTTGCTTCAGAGCACAATTTGAGATCCAGCAGTTAAGAACATAAGAAGAGCTCTCCTGGATCAGACCAATGGTGCATCCAGTCCAGCATCCCATACCACTCAGTGTCTAACCAATTCCTCTGGAGGGCCAGCAACAGGGCAGAGAGGCCGAGGCCTTCCCCTAATAAGAACATCAGAAGAACCCTGCTGGGTCAGACCAGTGAGGGTCCATCTAGTCCAGCCTCCTGTCTTCTCACACAGTGGCCAACCAGTTCCTCTGGAGGGCCAGCAGCAGGGCAGAGAGTCCAAGGCCTTCCCCTGAGAAGAACTTCAGAAGAGCCTTACTGGGTCAGACCAGTGGTCCATCTAGTCCAGCATCTTGTCTCACACAGTGGCTAACCAGTTCCCCTGGAGGGCCAGCAACAGGGCAGAGAAGCTGAGGCCTTCCCCTGAGAAGAACCTCAGAAGAGTCCTGCTGGGTCAGACCAGTGAGGGTCCATCTAGTCCAGCATCCCATCTCACACAGGGGCTAGCCAGTTCCTCTGGAGGGCCAACAACAGGGCAGAGGGGCCGAGGCCTTCCCCTGATAAAAACAGCAGAAGAGCCCTGCAGGAACATGCCAGGGAGGGTCCATCTAGTCCAGCCTCCTGTCTCACACAGGGGCCACACAGTTCCTCCGGGGGTCCAAGAACAGGGCAGAGAGGCTCAGGCCTTCCCCTGAGCAGAAGAACATCTGGAAAGCGGAAATT